TCTCATATTTAATAAATTATGATCGAAAAATTGTTGAAAGCTTCAATCTATCACTCCAAACAAGATCTAACATGATAAATTTATTTGACTGAGGCTAAAAAAATGATGCATCAGTTTGGAAATGCCAAAAGTACCGTCAGGCAGACGAGCAATAAAGAGTAAATTTTTTCCGAGTATAAAGAGTGGGAGTTAGAAGTCTCCCAGCTAAATTGGCACCAGACACCCAAAAAAAAAGTGAACCAAAACTTCAGTTGCTCGTTCGATAGATATATGCGTGCTGGTGCCAATCAAACCAACATGTGCAGGTGAAAAGCAGCTGAATTGATTTGACTGGGCTCATAACAGCGTCTTATAGCCGGAACAACTAACTATGCCAATGATGTACAATTATTGAGCGTATAATATGAAAACCGGAAACCAACAGCCGAAAAATCACTTTATTATTATTAATGGCTATCGGCCAGTCTTTCTTCTTTGAGGCGGCAATTGTTTTGTTAAGAAAATCACAGGCTAAGATAATCATAAAATATCGGAACAAACAAGTCAAAGTCCACAGTCTGCTTTCCCTTATTATAATAAGCATCCCACATTTTGTATCGCTCCTTCTTTCATAGGAGTGCAGCTGTGCAGGAATCAGAAATGGATGACATCCACAGGAGCTCGCTTTCTTTGCTTTTTTTAAGCCAAAGTTGTAGGCGCGCGTCATGTGCAGCAAATAAATTCCCGATTCGGACCAAATTAAGGGGACGCGTTCCTTACGCTAGCTTTTTGTTGTAGTGGATGTGGAAAGATTCTGAGGATTAATTTATATAAGGGCAGGAGATTTAGGCACAGGAAGATTGAGCGTAGATTGAAAACCAGAACGTTATATGTGCGTAATAAATGCAAAAAATCCGGGACATTGATGCGTCTTCTTCGTAAAATAGAAAAACTTGGGGAGGCTAGACAGAGTATCAGAAGCGAGCCAGAAGGCAGATAAAGGGTATGTTTTTGATTCGTTTTCTTGCTAAAAGCCAAGCGGCTCCCTTTTTATATTTAAAAAAAGGAGGGCGGGAAGCCTGAGAAACAGAGCGTGAAACAGAGAAGGGGCTTCTCCTCTGTCCTTATTATGGGGGGTTTTTGGCAAGCATTAGGTTGAATAATGTGGTGGATTTTTGCATCCACACACACACATATATATATATATATCAAATAGCATTAAATAACTCCAAATGGTTAGATGCTGCCTCCGCACCCAGCATTCCTGGCCAGCAGAATATATATTATCATCATTATGCTCTCTACTAATTCTCTCGCTTTCCCATTCCCTCTCCTTCTCATTCCCCCATCATTACACTCTACTTTTACTTTACCCTCTCATCATTCATGCGCTCAGCCCCTGCTGGGCATCTCCCATATAATAATAATAATATTATTATTATGCTCTAGCTTTTTCTAATAAATTATCAATAATATTATATACTCTCATCCTCCGTATAATATTCTTAATAACTCCGCTGAAGATAAGGAAGTTTTAAGGAAGACACTTGAGGGGTTTTTTTTGGCAGAAATAGAACTATGATTTTTAAAATATTTTTACAGTATACAAAATAAATACATGGAGAACTTCGTCTCAATTTGTTAAAAATGTTTTTAAAAAATATTTTTGGGCTACCCGAACAATCACTTAGTGTAATTGAGACTATGAGATTTGGAACCATAGTAAGAAAACGTTAAATAAACATTATTAAAATGATTTATAGATTGCAGTGACGATTTTTCTATTCACTTTCAATAGTTACCATGAATTTGAGAACACGTTCTTTTGTATCCTTCACTGAAAATTAATACCCTGCAAACGCCTGCTAAATGACTTGTAACTAAATTTTAAAAATTCTTGGCCCTGTCCACACGCACACATAGAGGAAAGGGCACTAACTTGTCTAAAATTTTATCTAATGCGCGAACAACTAGGAAGTAACAATTTTACGGGGGCCTTGAACGTCTTATGTTATCTTCCTTCCACGGATGTCCAGGGCGGATGTGCCGCTTATGAGCATGACTCGAAGTAAAAAGGAAGAGAAAAATGGAGGTGTTTTTGCTCTGTATATGTGTCTATAACTTTAAAATCAATCTATATATATAAGATTAATATAATATTTAGTCCCTTAAGTTTTAAACCATAGGTTTTGGTTCCTCAAAAGACAACATAGTCCAGATTTTTTTTTATTGAATTATAGGAACCAATGTTATAAATTTAAAAAAAAAAACTGAAAAATTAAAACTTATGGTCTGAAACTTAAAAGATTAAAATCAAAATGAAGATAAATTTAAAGGATCAAAAATTATATTAACTATATATATATATATATATATATTGCGTTCGCTGACTTAATTTGTTCCGTAAGCGAGGTTATAAAACACACACGCCCAATAAATTATTGGAGAGCCCCCAACTACACGCTGAACCGCATACGGATTTAATATTGGAAGCTCTGCGGTTTACGCAAGTGCTACCAAATGCGGCTTTTATTCATTCATTCATCATTGCATATATAAACCCACAGGCCTAATTCAACTAATACGAGCTCGCTGCTTGTCTGGTCAACTCTGGGTGAAAGCTTTTTCTTGGTTTGAATTATAACTAATTTATATTTCTCACCTTCAGAAAATTGGTCCCTTTCAAGCACGTACCCAATAAGTGGTTTATCAATTTTCGAAACCTACTCTTTCTAAATTTATTACTCCTGGTCCTAATTATAAGACCCAATTGATTTATTTGAGGAGATTAAGGAAGTAAGTTAAGTTGGTTATTTATAATAAATAAGTGTTGTCATTCCTAAAATATCCTTGCTACTTAAGTATATTGGCTAAAACTATCATTATTAGAAGGATTATCTTGAAAAAAAATGCATAAATATAAGAGATAAAATGGATTGGGATTTTATAATTAGGACCAAATAAAAAGTCAAATGGGGTCTTATAATAAGGACCGGAGGAGTAATTCACAAGTAATAAATGGCACTTGTCTTATTAATATTAAAAATAAAATGCTCATCACTTAGCTTCACCTTTTTTGGGAGCGAGAATATTATATGAGCTTCTCAGAAAGTAACTTTGTAAGGGGGCAAAAAAAAAAAGTTTCATTGATGAGTAAACAATCCCTCAATTTTTGGAGTCAATAGGATTTTCAAAAATCCATGATTTGTTTGTCCTTTCACCCCTTGTTAGTAATTTGATATGTGGGGAAGAATGTCACCTTTTATTTTACATTTTGTTTTGTTTTTTTTTTCCGATAACATGTTTTATTTTGTTTCAAATAACGGAATAATCAAATGGACGACGCAGCAGAAGTTGCAATTGCAAACATCGCAACCTCCGTGTAGGAAAACGTAACATTTCTAATTTCTTCTCATCAACTGATGACCGTACTGGTTAAATAGATTATAATAAATACACTGTAATTAATGACACGCTACTACCATTACAAAGTAGAATTTATGTTTAGGATAATATTAATAAAGAAAAATTAATAACCGCGTCTTCGATAACATCCTGTGACCGTAATTACTAATTACAGCCCTTATTTGTTTTTTTGTTTAATTTGGTAAAGCCCTTCTCGTTTCTATTCTATGCATATATTACGCGCAGTCAGAATTAAGCAGACGGAACTAAGATTGCATGTATGGCCGCAGTTTACAACAGAATTGGGGAAGGAGAAAACTTGTTTTGGGGTGGAAGTCGCCTTCGATTTATCTTGTCCACCAAGGAAACACCGAATTATTCATCGCATCAAAGTTAATCGAAGCATAAAAATGATAAAGATCGATCACGAGACGTCTAAAAAGGACTTTTATTAATTATATATAACTTCGATAACGGGGACGAATTCAATATTGGTGGTGTATTTCTTGCCTCTTCCGAGAAGATGCGTATGAGGGCATTATTAAATATATTGTGAAATATTAAAAGGAGAAGAAAGATGCAGATGTGACCAGCCAAACAGATAGGTAGCGCCAATACATAATATATATATATATTATATTATATTATTCACGCCATAGATATTATATATTGGGAGTCAGCTGTCGTGGAAGGAACTGTTTGCCTTTGATTTAAGAACGCAATAAGGAAAGGGGGCATGTAATGTGTGTGAAGTGTGAGCCTCTTCAGTGACACGGATAGCATACAACGCAGCATTTGGGACGCAATAATTGAGTTCAGGAATCTGCAGATGTGTAGTCATAACTCATAATATATAACATCCTACGAGTCTGGTATTTGCAGCCTCTCCCTCAAGTCTCTTTTTATTTTTTTTTTAATTCAAAACTAGAGGCTTCGCCACTACAACTGAATCCCTTCCACTTTTCATTCTTTCTGTATTCCCATAATTTCTCAACTCTTTTCAATCCATTCCTTCGCTCTTCTTGTTCTTTCTTTCTTTCTCCCATGGATTCTTTTTTACGGACGGCTCACGGCCTTTTATGCAGATTCTTTTGTTTTATTTTATTGCTCCCACCTAATTGCTCCAACTAATTCAGGATTGTTTTCCCCCCCCCCTCCTTTTTTATGACCCACTTGTTTCACCCTTTGTTTTGATGAGATATTTCAGTTTTAATTTTTTTTCGTAGGCATATTTTAAAGAATCAACACAAATATAATAATATTTCTTATCTTATTAGTTTAGTACATTTAAATGTTACTCATTTAATCCGTACCATATTCTTTCATATGGACTTAGTAAAAATACAATATATAAATATTTAATATTTATTTCTCCATTTTGCCCTGATCCCCCATTAAAATTTATATGTAACTTAAAAAATTATACAAATTTTTTATATATTTAATATCATAAATATCTTATAACCGGAGGAGTATGATCATGATTCTACAGTAGAAATTAATGAATAAGAGAGTTATCAAAATTAATTAAGAACCTTATAAGTTTTTAATTATTTTCAGGTTGAATGCTTCTTCAACCCCTCCCTTTTTCTTCCTCCGTCGTTCTTCTGTTTCAGTGTTTGAACACTGGGTTTTTCTTTGCATATGACAGCCTTGTCACCGTCGTAGTGTTTTGTATTCTTGTAGAGATTCCCTTTTTTCATGGTTTCTTCTTCTTCTGCTGCTAATACTGTAAGGGCGAATTGTTTTCCTCCTCCGTTTCGGTCCCTGATACCTGGTAATCCATTATTTTCTTTCTGTGTAGTTTGTGAGTGTATGAAAAATTATATACCGTCCTTGCTTTCCTGTCCGGATCAGCTCTCTGCGAAATCGGTGCTCCACTAAGTAATGTGTTTTGCTAGAATTTAATGAGACGATGTATCTTTCATCGTCTTTGATCCTCTGTTCGTCAGCCAGGTGGGATAAAAACAAGTGCCGACTCAAAAAGCTTCACGACTGTGGGCTGATTTTCTTATTTGGCAATTCTCAGATCCCACACGTTGCAAATTTTCCACTTATTTTGTCATTTTTTTCTGTTTTTTGGTTTTTCTTGCTTTAAGTTGACGTGCGTTAAAAGCTTCACAATTACACGTTTAATGAACTAATGAAATGCCAACTGGGCCACGGAAGTTGATTTGCTTTGAAACAATCTTTACCGGTTCAATTATTTAATGTCAACTCAATCCATGGCAATTAGTGCTGGCTATTTTGCCATATGATTCGATTCGATCTTTCGAGTCTGCTTTCTGAGTTGCTGATCTGCGCAGCGATTTTCTTCCATAGTGCAAATATAGAAGGCGATCGCTTATCTGACATGGGTGAGAATGGCTTGGATGGCGATGCGACTGGGCATGGCAAGGCAACCGCATCAGAGAATCAGGCAGAAACCAGCACAAAAGAGGAAAACAGAGAGATGGCCAAGCAAAAAGGAAAGGCCGACACAGTTCCATTTCACAGGCTGTTCTCATTTGCGGATTCTACTGATACTCTGTTAATGATCGTTGGCACCATTGGGGCCATTGGAAATGGTATGGGTTTGCCTTTCATGACGTTACTGATGGGCCAAATGATCAATGTTTTCGGAAGTAACCAGCAAAGCACAGACACTGTTGCACAAGTTGCCAAGGTAAAAAGAGCCGTAACTATCATCTTCATCTCATATCTCTTGCTAGAAAGAGATGCATCTGAAATTTTGACTTTGGTTCGATAAATTCCCGAAGCAACGTAGTCGACATCGGAAATCTAGTACAAGTTTCCAACTATGCGTTTGAACCTCTTGTCTTTCTTCTGTTATTTGAATTTTCGGAAAATTGCAGGTTTCTTTGAAATTTGTGTACTTGGCAATTGGAAGTGGTGTGGCAGCATGTCTTCGTAAGTATATTGAACTGTCAAAATTACTTGGGAATGCCTGGCCTTGATTGCTCATCTGAGTTGCTTTCCCCTGCTTCCTTTCTATTTTTCAGAGGTGTCTTGCTGGATGGTCACGGGGGAAAGACAGGCTGCGAGAATAAGGGGATTGTATCTGAAAACCATACTAAGACAAGACGTTACTTTCTTCGATAAGGAAACAAACACCGGAGAGGTGGTAGGGAGAATGTCGGGTGATACTGTTCTCATACAGGATGCCATGGGAGAGAAGGTATTGAAGGCTTGAATCAAATTAGAAACAAAAAGCCGCCGATGAATATTTGGTGGTGCTTTCATTGTTCGGGAGCTCCTATTTTCTAAACGCCTTCTTGTTTGAAACAGGTTGGGAAATTTCTGCAGTTAGTTTCAACATTCATTGGCGGCTTCGTGGTCGCATTTGTTAAAGGATGGCTTCTTGCACTCGTCATGATGGCCATTCTTCCATTGCTAGTGGTGGCCGGGGCATCCATGGCCTTCATCATAGGAAGGATGGCTTCCCGTGGTCAAACAGCTTATGCAAAAGCAGCAAATGTCGTCGAACAAACTCTGGGCTCTATTAGAACTGTAAGTTGTTGCCAGAGCTGAATTGATATTATGGGAAATTCTATCGAGATCACATGACTGAGAGCTGAGTTAGATCTTATCTCTGGTTGTTTATGCATATCCAGGTTGCATCCTTCACAGGCGAAAAGCAAGCAGTGGCTAGGTACAGCAAATTTCTTGTGGATGCTTACAAATCAGGAGTCCACGAAGGTTTTGTAGCCGGCCTGGGTTTCGGCACGGTTATGTTTGTCTTTTTCTGTGGTTATGGTTTGGCTGTATGGTTCGGCGCAAAGATGATATTGGAAAGAGGATACAACGGCGGTACGGTGATCAATGTGATTGTCGCTATATTAACCGCTTCCATGTAAGTAGCCGCATTTCCCCCACTGTATTTTGTGTTAACTGAGCCAAGTATTTCCTATTTTTGCTGCTGTATCAACTCAACCATATGCACGGCTATAGACATAAATGGAAGCATTGTTCAATTCATTTTGCTGCGTGGACAGGTCTCTTGGGCAGGCCACCCCTTGCTTGAGTGCTTTTGCTGCTGGTCAAGCCGCAGCTTATAAAATGTTCGAGACAATAAAGAGAAAGCCAGCGATAGACGCCTATGATCCAAGCGGTAAAACATTCGAGGATATTAATGGCGACATAGAGTTGAAGGATGTTTACTTTAGTTATCCGACAAGACCCGAGGAGCTAATATTCAATGGATTCTCTCTTCATATACCAAGTGGCACCACTTCTGCCCTGGTTGGAGAGAGTGGAAGTGGGAAGTCGACAGTTATCAGCTTAATAGAAAGATTCTATGATCCGCAGGCAGGTGAAGTTCTTATTGATGGCATCAACTTGAAAGAACTTCAGCTGAGATGGATTAGACGTAAAATCGGCCTCGTCAGCCAGGAGCCCGTCTTGTTTGCATCTAGCATTAAGGATAACATCTTATATGGAAAGGAGGGGGCAACGATTGAAGAAGTAAGAGCTGCAGCTGAACTTGCAAATGCTGCTAAGTTCATTGACAAATTGCCACAGGTCCTAACTTATAACCGATTTTAATTGAAGAAGTTACTTACCTTCAAAGTCATTAATATGCTTAAATTTTATTACTAACCCCGTGTTAAACCCAGGGATACGACACAATGGTTGGTGAGCATGGAACTCAACTATCTGGTGGACAGAAACAGCGTATTGCTATTGCCAGAGCAATTATAAAAGATCCAAGAATACTTCTTCTAGATGAAGCGACGAGTGCTCTAGACGCAGAATCTGAAAGGATAGTTCAAGAGGCTCTAGATAGGGTCATGGTCAACCGCACTACTGTTATTGTGGCTCATCGACTGAGCACAGTAAGGAATGCCGATATGATTGCTGTGATTCATAGAGGAAAGATGGTTGAAAAAGGTGATATACAAACTAATTAGCGCCGCCGTTATATTAGTCCTTTCCATCGATCCATGACTTACAAGAATCGAATTTCAAATAATCGGAGTTTCTTGGCCGAAAAAAAAAAAAATCGGAGTTTCGATCGTTTGCATAACTAACTGTAACTTTATGTGTCTATTAATCAGGAACGCATTCAGAGTTGCTCAGGGATCCCGAGGGAGCTTACTCTCAGCTTATACGCTTGCAAGAAGTAAACAGAGAGTCAGAGGAACCTTCAGAGCGTCAAAATAAAGGCGAAATTTCCATGGAATCGTTCAGACAATCGAGCCAAAGGAGGTCACTTCGGAGATCCATCAGTCGAGGATCATCTATCGGCAATAGTAGCAGGCACTCATTTTCAGTACCATTTGGGATGCCCACTGTAGTTAACGTCCCCGAACCTGAACTTGAAAAATTAGACGCGAAAAAAGAATTGCCAGCTGTTCCAATCCGTCGCCTTGCTTCCCTCAACAAGCCCGAAATTCCAGTGCTTCTGCTTGGATGTGTGGTTGCCATAATAAATGGCGCAATTCTTCCGGTGTTTGGTCTGTTGATTTCCTCTGTTATTAAAACATTCTACGAGCCACCTCATGAGATGAAAAAAGATTCCAAGTTTTGGGCACTTATTTTTTTGGCCCTTGGCATTGCTTCTCTGCTCGCAATTCCATCCCGAGGATACTTGTTTTCTGTAGCTGGCTCTAAGTTAATCCAACGCATCAGACTGATGTGTTTTGAGAGGGTTGTGAACATGGAGGTCGGTTGGTTTGATGAGCCAGAGCACTCAAGTGGAGTAATAGGTGCAAGGCTTTCGGCTGATGCTTCGACCGTGAGAGCCCTTGTCGGTGATGCGCTAGGTCTTCTGATTCAAAATATAGCATCAACGTTGACCGGTTTAATTATTGCTTTCGTTGCGAGCTGGGAGTTAGCTTTGGTTATTCTGGTACTTATTCCCCTGATTGGGGTGAATGGATATGTCCAAATGAAATTCATGAAGGGTTTTAGTGCAGATGCAAAGGTGAGCCAGCTTCTTTCTTATTGCTATACATTCCAATTTAATATTCCTTTTTTTCTTTTTTTACGTTTGCTATACATTCCAGTTATTATTCCAGTTTTAATATAGAAATTTCTCAATACGATGATGCGGATTATATTGATGCAGATGATGTACGAAGACGCAAGCCAAGTAGCTAATGATGCTGTTGGAAGCATCAGAACAGTAGCTTCTTTCTGCGCCGAAGAAAAGGTAATGGAACTGTATAGGAGGAAATGCGAAGGCCCCATGAAATCTGGGATACGGCTAGGCCTGATCAGTGGAACAGGATTTGGGTGTTCGTATTTCTTACTTTTTAGCGTCTACGCATCAAGTTTCTATGCCGGAGCTAGACTTGTGGATGCTGGCAGAACTACATTCTCTGACGTTTTTCGGGTACAAGCTAGCTCTTCGAATACGTACTGTTGAGAGCGATCCGCTCCAACATTTTGTTTGTAATTCCTTCCGACTAATTCAGATGCTTTGATGGGTGGTAGGTTTTCTTTGCTCTGACAATGGCGGCAATGGCGGTTTCCCAGTCGAGCTCGATGGCTCCAGATTCTAGCAAAGCCAAGTCAGCCACTTCTTCCATATTTGAACTAATTGACAGGAAGTCCAAAGTAGACTCCAGCGACGAGTCTGGCGCCACATTGGATATCGTGAAGGGGGAAATTGAGCTTCGTCACGTGAGCTTCAAATATCCGTCTAGGCCAGATGTACAAATTTTCCGAGACCTCAGTTTGGCTATTCATTCGGGCAAGGTAAAGTTTTTCTTTTCTTTTTCCCCTTAGTCCTGGTGAACAAAATTAAAGTACACGTTGAAGCTAATAATCCATCAGTTTATTATTATTATTATTATTATTATTATTATTTTCACTTGCAGACAGTGGCCCTTGTTGGTGAGAGTGGAAGCGGGAAGTCGACAGTGATCGCATTGCTGCAAAGATTTTATGACCCAGACTCAGGCGAGATCACGCTTGATGGAATAGAACTCCGAACGTTTCAGATCAAGTGGTTAAGACAGCAGATGGGGCTGGTGAGCCAGGAGCCAGTGTTATTCAATGACACCATCCGTGCCAATATTGCTTACGGAAAAGGAGGCGATGCAACGGAAGCGGAAATCATAGCCGCTGCGGAACTAGCCAACGCTCATAAGTTCATTAGTGGCTTGCACCATGTAAAGACAAACCCAACAAAACTCTTACAGCCTTACTTGCTCATCATTTATTTTGGGAGGATTTCATCAGTAAGCTGATCTTTCTGTGGTAACAGGGTTATGACGCGGTGGTGGGGGAGAGAGGACTGCAGTTATCAGGGGGCCAGAAACAAAGGGTGGCCATAGCACGTGCCATAATAAAGAGTCCAAAGATATTACTGCTAGATGAGGCCACGAGTGCGTTGGATGCAGAGTCGGAGCGAGTAGTTCAGGATGCATTAGACAGAGTAATGGTGAACAGGACTACGGTGGTCGTGGCACATCGGCTATCCACCATAAAGAATGCGGATGTGATTGCGGTGGTCAAGAACGGAGTGATAGTGGAGAAAGGAAAGCATGAGACGTTGATTAACATTAAAGACGGCTTCTATGCCTCCCTAGTCCAGCTTCATACCAGTGCTTCCACTGTATGACCTTCGCTTCCATTCTATGATTTTATTTTCCTTCTTTTGCTGAAAATCAATACAAGCACAAATAAGCTATCCTTTCTCTCAAGTAGCAAGCCTGTTCGGTGGCCCGCGAGGGGAAAAACAAAGTCTGCTTTTGTTTTTAGAAATACAGCAGTTGCTTCGAGGGCACGTGGAGGCACGGTGTGACGTTTAAGGTTTAAGCACCGCCTGCGGCTTCTGCTTTTATTATACTAGAAAATTTACATATATACATGAGATTGATATATAGTGTCCTAAAAGTTCCCTTTTTTTAGTTTTATATTTTAATTCTGAATTGTGTTTAAAATATAAGGCTTTGAAGATGGCATACGTAATAAATATATCTATTCTCACGTCAAGAGCATAATCATATTTTTCAAGTCATTGAACTATTGAAGCGATCCGTTTTATAAATTCTTGTATTTTGAATAACTCACTGAACATATCTTTTCATGTGATTAAAATAACCAATTTAATTTCTTTCATAGAGAATATATATATTAAATATATATAATAGCTACGGTTATAAAAAATATGCTGAAACTCCCGAGTGGGTAATTTGAGAAATTGTAAATTTATGATCAGTTGTCCCTCGGCGTCTGTTTTTATTCGGGGCTTAATTAGTTTTTGCGATGATGATGGTTTGTTACCTAATCGGCATCCACTCCTCAATTTTAAAATGTTTCATCAAATGTCGTATACACTTAACCACTTAAAGTAAATAATTAAATCCACTGAACTGGATGACGTTGTTGGCAAGGAAAAACCTTAACAAGGGAATCGGTTCACTGTTCAAGAGTCGGAGGACGTAGCTAACAAAACGCTTGTAGCGAAATCTTGATAATTTTGATCTTGAAGATCAAGTCTTTTATTACTATTATTCTCACTTTGGAATCAACGGCATGCTTTGATGAGAATCTGATGGTAACTAAAAGACGACGATTGTTAATGTGTCGTTTCTTGGGTTTTGAACTCAGAAGTCAATTTGATTGGAGGAATTGAGCTGTGAGGGTTTGGCGACGTAAAGGGACAGTGACGGCGAGCCTGGATAAAGGATAAAAGGGAGGAACAGATAAGTGCGAAGGTCATGCATGACAACACATGATGTATAACTAAACCAGGGAAGATGATGATGATGATGATTTGGAAGTCAACATAGTTTGGTAGTAGTTACAAGAAAATAATAAGAGATGAAGAGATCAGATAGTATGACGCCAAACTCGGGGGTGGTTGTGTAACAAACTAACAGTGACGGTTGGCCATTGACTGTGTGTGCAGGCCGCTTGCACGGCATACTCAATTAATTCTATGATACCTGCCACCAATAGATCAATTAAATTCAAGTGGGAAATTAATGGGATCGCACCTGAGGCACTAGTGCTAGATTTTAACAATAGAAGCAAAGGTAACAAGTAATGTATTATAAAATATTAAACAATCGCGCAACTTCTAGATGACAATGACATCCCTCTGGTGTTTGCAAACCTGATCATTTCTTTCCCCCATTCACTCCTGGATAAAGCAAGTGGCAGCCCCTCGGACAACGCACCGCTTTCGATCTCACGGCTCCAAATCCAAAAGTTCAGTTTTCCATTCTCTCACAACCCAGCCATTGCTGATTATAATTCTCTTTACGTTTATATAATAAAAATTGAGTGCGCCTTCTCTTCTTGAGGATGGCACAATGGACAATATTGCTTGGCTCGACTTCAACCTCGCAAACCCGCCAAATCGAGGTTTTTTTTTTATTGTCATAAATTTTATTATGCATAGATTCATATATAGATATTAATAATTGACTGATTGACATGATAATTGATGATAACTGATTGATTTTCCCTTTTTTTTTTTTTACAGAGATAACTGATTGTTTGATGGATGGTAACATTGGAATATTGATTGCCCTGCCTCCATTTTCGGGGGGAAGTCATAACGGCCACTTCTCGCACTGATATTTGACGCATGTGGGAAGACGCGTGGGGATCATGCAGAAAGGGACATTTATAGGACATATGAAAAAACTAGTTAAAATAACATAACCCCACTGGAAACAAAAATAAAACAACTAGTCGTCGTTATCATCGCTTTCATCACTATACGAGACGAGCCCAGACTGGGCAACTTCACAGGACTTCGCAGCTTCACCGTTCAAGGGTTGCGCTGGCTCTGAAGATTCATGCTTATCAGTGCCTACTTTTGAAGCTGCTTCTGCATTTCCTGCGTCTACCCGGGCTTTTTTAGCCTGGGGCTTGACTTTAATAATCATGCCTAATGAACGAGGTGCTGGATTTTTCTTTCCGGAAGGCCTCTCTTCCTGCAAGACAAAACAGTCTTCTAGTTAAGATTAGTGAAGAACAAGCCATCAAGACACGATATGAAAACAATTATCCCAGGTGCCAGCTCTTTGGCACTCAAGCCCGCCATGCTCTAGGAAACCTTCCATTTTTATTGCCATTAGCACCAGTGCCAATTACTACAATGGCTAGGAAAAGAAAACACAGGGAAAGAAAAAGAAACACCCGGGTAAACTTCCCGTGATGTCCGAAAGAGAAACCACCAACGTTAAGACACTGTTCATAAGTTAATCATCCCAAGCGGCAATTAATTGGTTGGTAACAATAGCCATTAGCACGATCCTTTTATGTATCTCTTACTGAACGCAATATGCATTTACTCATTGATGCATATTATAGTTACTAAGTTAAAAAAAAAAAAAATCAATATCAAGTGACAACTTCTGTTCCTTAGCTACACTCGTCATTTCTGGCTTCAAAAAAGAACGCATTGGTTATTTTAATATGAAATCTCCATTGTTTTTTTGACACCATCTTGTCCCTCACCAATAACTACTGTCTGCATCCTTGAAGAATAGAAATGGAGACTGCAATAGAGAGACATTGAAATACTGGTTTTCTTACTGTAAGACTTGCAGAATCAAAACAGTTTTGGCCTGGGATGTTAGGAAACTACCTAGCTAGAACGAAAATTTCAAAAACAGCACTTCAAGAAAGGGAATATACAATAGAAGTAACTTTTGATAAATGTCAAATTAGCAATGAAGGACACAAGCCCTTCAAAGTAAAACCACTGAAGTCTTCCACCTAGAAGCGTAAATTATTTTAAAATCTTATTCAACAGACACTCCTCAAGAGATCTGTGACAAAATGGAAAAAAGAAATGAAATAAGTTGTCATGGCAGCCAGGGAGCAACTAAGACACAATAGTTTGAATATGCAAACATGATTTCACAGTACAAATAGAATCAAAATTGCTATTACATACTTAAAAAGTAGAAGAACCAAAAAAGACACTGTATATTAAAAGTTCACCGAAAACAACCTGGAAAACAGGACGAGGTGCTCCTTGCTTAAGTTCATGTACAATATTGGACTGTGCTGCCACTGCTGCCTTTAAAAGAAAAAAGCACAAGGAAAATGTACTTAGTAAAACCATGGATCAAATATGGGCACCCACACATGACAAATTCACTTTTACAATAGCAAGAAAAGACATTTTTCTAAGAGAAAATTGACTATTATAAACAATAAATTGCTACAGTATTATAACTTCAAAGAGTCGTTATCATCATCCCATCAATTGTCAGGACTTAACTTGAAAACTCTGGATTTGTTGGGCTTCGTCATCTGCCACTTGTCGTTCATATTCTCTCCTAGTCTGAAAGGTTATAAAGATACAGAAATTCAAATCATTAAAAAGCAATATTACTCTTCCTGCCAAAAAAAAGATAACTGTTTGCGAATAATTCATAACATTATGAATAAAACCCAAATGAAAATGACATTTCTAATGCTTCAAATGAAACCTAAGATGGAACTTCCATCCATAAAACGTTTCAAAACGATAGTTGGAAAAAATAAGGGTTACCATTTCCCATTTATCAAGAAACTCAGTCTCATCTTCATCTAAAGCTTTAGGTGGTCCTGTAAGGATCGAAGAAGGGTTAATCTTCAAATGGTAATGGCACAAAATCAATCTGAAAAAAGAAGACTTGCAGCATAAAATGCCTTCCTCCAAAAAGGGCAATCAAACAAGACAATGTTAATATTGGCAAAAAACATGGCAGCCCTAACAACAGCAGCATTAGGTTGTACTTGGGAAGGCCAAATGTAATATCTTCGAAAATGTTTCAGCTTTCAATAAGCAAGATATTCCCTACTCTAAACCATCTCCCAAAAGCTAGTTGTCCAAACCCAAGCACTACATAAGAGAAAAAAACCATAATGTAATACTCACTATGTTTGAACCGTTCATTAAATTCTGCATCCCGCTTGTCCTTATTCTCCTTTAGAATCTGCAAATTGGGGAAAAATTTAAATCTAATAGCAGCTGAGTTCAGTAAATGACTCCATATAGCCATTCGCAATGGATGGAAGTCATTTGAGTATAAAGGCTGAAGAATACAGAACAAATCCATGCTGTAAGATTGAGTCTCTCTTGTGGCTTTCTCCCTTACATATCACAGAATTTATTACATGGTGTAGTCACTCGAGAGTTTTCTTTAGACAAAGCAATGTGAAACATAAACAGTGAATCAATTCTCGGCAAACCCCTTCAGCCATTGGAACACATAGGCATCACAATGAATCATAAGCGAACAATGAAAGCTGACCTCGTAGAGGGGTCTATCCCTTTGGGCAGTGCCGTCTTCAAGTCTTTCACCCCTTGTTCTTTTAGATTCAGCCAACTGTTCAGAATACACACACCCCTTTACATTAGGAACCATCGATGAATAACACAAACTTCAAATTAATTCAAAAAATCGAGAAATAGAAAATAAAAATTAAAACGATAACTTTGAACTAGAGCGCATAGGGTTAGTTTCAGCTTCAGTGGGTTTAAGGGAAAGTTTACTTGATCTTCTGAGACGAAATTCATCAGCCTGATCGGACGCTGGGATTCTTCAGCCATCGTGTTCAATTCTCTCGACGAATTTGCGACTGGATGAAGTACGCCAATACCTGAGTCCAAAAAAAAAAAAAGCACGCCAATACCGAAAGAATACGCTTCTCGTCCGTTCGGAGCCGCGAGCGGTTCAACCTGCATCCAGCCAGTGGCATTTTTCTTTTAATTTTGGGTAGCCCCGTTAGTTAAAACTCGTCTTACTCTTCTAAAAAACATTTTTCCGCGAGACAAACTCTTTTACAGTTATAGTTTGATTCCATCAAAATACTTTTTTATTATGTTATACTGCTAACTTCTGTATTCGATATAAAAATTTTATTTGATTTTTATTTTGATTTTAAATATAAGATTTTAATTTATTTTATCTTTTATATTTATTTATTTTTTAAAAACAGTTCTTATAATAATAATAGTTCTAGTAAATACACTTGATTAGTGAGAATATTTTAGGAAAAACAACATCTATTTATCATAAATAATTAACTTAATTAGTTTTCTTAATCTATTCTAATTAATCAACTAACTATTATATTAAGGATAACAAATAATAGTAGTATGAAATCTGTAAAATGTCTTACTGTTTTATTTTAAAACTTGGGTCTTGATTCTTATTTTATGCATTTGGTTTCTGTTTAGCTGATACTTTTAACAGAAATTTTTTTTTATTTACATGTCACTTTAAAATTTTAAGGTAACGTTAATTACTTTTTAAATTTTATATATATTCTACTTTTACTATTTTCAAAATTGTGACAAAGCATTAATTGTTAAAATAAATAAAAGAAAAAATCTAACGGATTCAATTCATTAGTTTATGAACCGAAAATTCAAATAACAGACGTTCTGGTCCCAAAAAAAAAAAAGCAGACGAAGGGAGTGTAAGTTTTCTTAAGTTTCCCGCGCCTTTTTTTTTGCCACCAAAAAAAAAACGGCGCGTCATCGTTTTCCAAAGAAGATAGCCTCCGAAAGCGGAAAACCCTAATTACTGCGCCATCTCAATTGCTATCCAACAAGCGTTTCCTTCACCGCTGTCGGCTGTTCGTCCGGCGTAGTTGTTTCGTCAGGTCGACATTCCGGATGGCTGGGATGGATAAAAAGCCTTCTGCAAAACAATCTGGTGGTAAGCGGTAGTGCCTTTTCTGCTTCCATTTTGTGTCAGTTTCCACATTTTTAGTATCTAAATTCGAAACATTTCAGGTGGGAAGAAGAAGGAGGTGAAGAAAGAGACAGGTCTAGGACTTTCTCATCGAAAGGCAGACAACTTTGGGGAGTGGTATTCTGAGGTAGCTGTTTCCAATTTTAATCCATTAGAATTTCTTTTGACAGTGTTGAAGAACTATTTAGGCTAAGTAGGTATGATCTGATCGTATTTCACTGTCTTGCTTAGTGACAATCCAATAGTAATAGCAGTGAGTATATACCTGAGATGCAGGAAGTAAACCTGACCTTGACTATCTTAGGGGAAAAGTAGTACCCGTTATTTGTTCTTTTCGATTGAATCTGGCTTTCCAGACATAAATTCCAATAAAGAGAGTAATGCTTTTGTTGATTAATTTTATTCTGATGTGACAGGTGGTTGTCAATGGGGAAATGATCGAATACTATGATATTTCTGGATGCTATATTCTAAGGCCATGGGCTATGTCAATATGGGAGGTCATGCAAGTAAGATTTGAAGTTCTTTACAAGACCATTGGTGGTATCTTAATCTTAGCGTTGGTAAACTGTAAAAAACAATTTAAAGATTTTTTTTAAAAAATAAATGGGGGAATGCATTGATGTATACTAGCTATTCCCCCTGTTCTAGAACTTCTCTCATTATGTCTAATGTTGCGGCATATTCAATCAATCCCATTTTTGTTGCAGCCATGAAAAGCTCTGGTTTCTCAAACATGGAAATGGATTTTCTACTTGGTAGCCTTCTTCCCGGCTTTCCTGAATTCAGAATTCTTAAATTCTTTCGTGATATGAAAAAACAATGTGCAGGAATTCTTTGATGCGGAATTAAAGAAAATGAAAGTCAAGAACTGCTACTTCCCTTTATTTGTGTCGCCTGGAGTTTTGCAGAAGGAAAAGGATCATGTTGAGGGCTTTGCACCAGAGGTTAGATTTTTTAAGTTGTCCTTCGTCAGTTAACATAATCAGAGAGGTTACTGCATGAGGTCAAGATTGTCATGCCCTTAGGTGTTTACTGGGAATCTGAACATTTTCTGTTTCTGTCATGGAGATTGGTTTGCTCGGATACTTGATGATCTGTTTTACAATACAATAGAAGATTTAGTTCGTGAAGTTTGTGTCTGATTCAGCTAATGGAAGCTTTGAGCTTAAAGATGAGTTTATATGAATAATGAGAAGTTTTGAACTTCTGATTTTATTACTATTTGGAATGATATTTTCATTTTGATGCACCATTGCTGCTGCTCTTTTTTTTCCCGGATAATATTATGGCTGTTCCTCTAATCTGATGGTTTTTTATTAGGTTGCTTGGGTAACAAAGTCTGGGGAAACCGATTTAGAAGTTCCTATTGCTATTCGCCCAACCAGTGAGACTGTAATGTATCCATACTACTCTAAGTGGATAAGGGGACATCGGGACTTGCCTTTGAAACTTAACCAGTGGTGCAATGTTGTTAGATGGGAGTTCAGCAATCCTACACCTTTTATCAGGTATTAAATAAAATTCTTTCTCTCTTTATTTTTCTCTACTTGTTGTGCTGTTTTGGCTATTTTAAATAATGTGAACTTTTTAACTCAATACAGTCACCTTTGTTTTCTTTATGATCTGTGGAACTTCCTGGTATGGTAAATTGGTTGCAATGCTTTTGCAGAATAATATTTGATGTGTGTGTTTTTAAATATTAATCTATGTAACCAATAAAATGTTTCAAAATATGTTGTGATTAATGCTTTAAAATATGTTGTAATTTTTAAATATTGAATTTCAGATGCACTTACTAACATTTGTATTTATTTTATTTTAGTTAGGATGTCTTTATCATATTCTAATACTACTCTGAGTGCAGGAGTCGTGAGTTTCTTTGGCAGGAAGGACACACTGCTTTTGCAACAAAGGAGGAGGCGGATGCTGAGGTAAGATGTTTGCATAATGTCATTGGTTCAAATTTGATATGAAGAACCTTTTTGTATAGAATTTCTCCTCTGGTATCATTTACATAATGGGCTCAACTTTGCCTTTTTCTAGTCTTTGTATGCTAGACTGGTGTTAGATCCCAGTTTTGCTTCTTTTCTGTGTCAACAGTTTCCTTTTTATTTTCTAGCAAGAGCTGTATAGCTCTATAGTTCTACTTGTCTTCTCTTTTGGTGGTTTAAGAGCAACGTAATTGGCTATGAAGTTCTTTTAGTTCCAGCCCTTCATGAACTAATTGACCCAATTTGGTAAGAGCTTTTTGTGTGTGATCCGTAGATAGTATTCTGCAAACTAAACGACTTATGTTGAGGGATAATGAATTAGAACCTAGTTTGGACCTTACCAAACTTACTGGTGAAATTTGGGTTCAAGTAGTTTAGATGAGGGCTCAACCTTGAAAATTCATGAGGTAATAATATGATATTTTGATGACTTCTATCGCTGGTTTCTGTTACTGGGGAGTGTTAGCTGAGCAGTGGGTGAGATTTGGATTGAAATTGTATTTTTGGGTTATCATTTGATGTGGTAGTGCACGTTGGATTACGAAGTTGCACATCCATCAAATGATTGTAGCAGGTTCAAGGATGATATGGTTGCAACCAACATATATTGGAAGGCTTTTGGTTAATCGAGGGACAAAGTAGAACTGTAACTGCCTGGTGAAATTGCTAGTGAGATGTATCAAGTAAAATAATCAAAGTAATTCATATCAAGAAGGTGCCAGGATTTACATTATTGTAAGGAACAATATCGCTGTAAAGAAAGAATCAAGCGTAAAAATAGTGTCTATAATTTGGACAGTAAACATGAGTTTGTCTGATCGGAATTACATGTCCTCTTGCAGTTGACTTCATGAAATTGGTATTGCGGATGAAATTGAGTTTAACACATGGAAATTATGTTTTCTTGAGCACTTTCTTTTTCTGAGTGTAATGTTTTAGAAACCATTCTGAACTAAACCTGTTTCAGGTCCTTGAGATATTGGAATTGTATAGGCGAATATATGAAGAATATTTGGCAATTCCTGTCATCAAGGGTAAGAAAAGTGAGCTGGAGAAGTTTGCTGGTGGACTTTACACCACTAGTGTTGAGGTAAATGTCCGATGTGCTTGCATGCAGGCTGATCCATTTGAATCGTGGCTTAAATCTTATAAACCTATGATGTAACTTGTGATAGGCATTCGTCCCAAATACTGGTCGAGGCATACAAGGTGCAACCTCTCATTGTCTGGGCCAAAATTTTGCTAAAATGTTCGAGATAAACTTTGAAAACGAGAAGGGAGAGAAAGCAATGGCCTGGCAGAACTCTTGGGCCTACAGTACTCGAACTGTAAGTTTTGACTTCTACAATATAAACACATTTCAGGATTCCCCATTGTGTTCATATTTTTGCTTTTTTCCATTAGATTGGCGTGATGGTGATGGTTCATGGAGATGACAAGGGATTGGTGCTACCCCCTAAAGTAGCCTCAGTCCAAGTTATTGTTATTCCAGTCCCATACAAAGATGCTGATACTCAGGGTATATATAATGCCTGTTCTGCAACTGTGAATACATTGTGCCAAGCTGGGATTCGTGCTGAGTCAGACTTTAGGGACAACTATTCCCCTGGTTGGAAGTATTCACATTGGGAAATGAAAGGTGTTCCTCTAAGGATTGAAATTGGACCAAAGGACTTGGCAAATGAGCAGGTCATTAAGTTGTTCCTCTTGTTAAACTAACTTTTGCAGTCGCACATTAGTCATCATTCTTGTTCAGTCATTTAGTCAATTGACACCATATAAATATTTCTCTTTTGCATCATTTGCAGGTCCGTGCAGTCCGACGTGATAATTCAGCAAAAATAGATATCCCTAATGCTGGTTTGGTTGAGCAAGTCAAAGATTTGCTGCATAGTATTCAACAGAGCCTGTTTGATGAAGCGAGACGAAAGCGTGATGCTTGTGTTCAGGTTATACATACTTGGGATGAGTTTGTGGAAGCATTGAGCCAAAGAAAAATGATCTTGGCTCCTTGGTGTGATGAGGAGGTATGAATTGTGCGAAATGATTTTTTTTTTTTTTTTTTTGGGGTGTCTGATTTCAAGTGTCTTGACCTCTTCAGATTGGCATTGTTTTAGGCAATATGTTGTTTTCAAGGGTCTTAACTTTGTTGTTTATACTACCTACGTTGTGTGGCTGGTTGAAATTGAAGACTCTCTTATTAATCAATCTGCAATTGTGCCTCAATTTAATGACATCGCAAAGTTTCAGATAAAATAGAATAATCACTCTTCACTAGTTGGAAAGCATAAACTGTTTCGTAACGTTTCATATTCGGGTGCCTGTAGCAGGCCCATTATGACTGATGTTATGGCACCAAAAAAAAAAAAACTCTTGGAAATAAGCTGTGTGTGGCTTAAGGTTGGGCCAAATCCTTAGGGAGGCATGAAACACTTATTTTTATGTATCACCTACTCCAAGTTGCGAAATAAGCCCTCCTATTTGGCTCTTACTTGGGATATAAACCAAAAAGGTGATATGTTATGCGGCAATGCTATAATATGTACTTTCTATCCAAAAAAGGGAAAGGTATTTTGTAATACTGTGTTCCAAATTTGCTACGTGAGTATTGTCTATGAAGATGTTATTTTTGGTCGGGAATTATTACTAACAATTTTGATATACAATGTTTTAGGAGGTGGAAGTAGACGTGAAAGCAAGGACAAAGGGTGAGATGGGAGCGGCTAAGACCCTGTGTAGCCCCTTTGATCAACCAGAGCTCCCAGAAGGTACTATTGTTGTTGTCATCAATCGATTTAAACAGTAAATTTTATGTTTGATGTATATTTCTATGGAGTTCAAGATGAGTAACATTGTTTGCAACTTCTAAACACTGCAGCTCCCTTCATACTGATTAATGTTGCTCTACATTCTCGCATTTTCTCCCTATATCCGGACTCGAATGTCAATTTAGTAAAGTCGCCTTACAAATAGATGAATTAGCTAACCACGATTTTTGTTTTTACACTTGAAAGTTAATTATTAATGAACTCTCTAGTGGTGTTGTATGCATAACCTTCGATGTGGTATTACCGATAAAGTTGTTTTCTGAAACCTTGTTGATTGTTTTTCCCTAGGTACCAAATGCTTTGCATCAGGAAGATCTGCGAAGAAATGGTCATACTGGGGAAGAAGTTACTAGGTTATTGGCTCCTGGTTGTGGTTTTTACTCAACTTAAAACTAGAATTAAAATATGCATTATTGCCGCGTATGACTGGATCCGATGGGAGGAAAAGAAACGGTAGTTTTGGTTTTGTTTTGTTTTGTTTTGTTTGGGCATTTTTAAAGTGATAGGTTTTACGTTGGTCTTTTATCTTACATGATTTAAAGAATTTTCTTTTGGTACTCTGAAACCAAAAAAAAAAAAAAAGAATTTTCTTTTGGCCTGAACGCGTCTTAAGATTAGTATTGCTTGCGCCCTTGTGATGGTGTTGGTTCTGATTACCCCCAGGGGCAACTGGGAGGCAATTATTTGTGATTATCGTCCACTTTTTGGGCCTTTTATAGACACTTCATCTTGACTGATATCGGTGTCCGCCTTCATGAAGCCACCCTTTACAGATGTTGGGAGCCCATGTTTGTTTGGAGTTGGAAGCTGCTAGTATGACGGTGAAATAATGTTTTTAACGGCCGGTAAAAGCCAAGTCCGTGTATTTCAGACTGGAAATGAAAGAGCTCAGTTTAAAAGTACGAATATAAGTGCCACCCCCAGATTGAGTGGAGCTTAGCAACCTTAAGCTTGGTGGTGCCACGTGTCTAATTAACGACATGACGTGTTGCTCCAATTTAGAATCATTATTCAAGAGACAGGAGTAAAACCGGTAATATAGGTTGAGTCTACGGGCTTAACTTGCAAACCTATCAAAAAGTGGTGGATTTGATTGATAAAAATTAGAACTATTTTAAAACGGGTCAAGGCCGCGTTCGTGATGGGTTAACGTGCAGGGTTGGTGAGCTAACTTGTTTTACTCTTTTTTTTTTTTTAATTTTTCCCTTTGAAATGCATCGTCTCTCTCCCTTTTCATTTTTTTAATTTTCCCCTTCAAAAGGTAACAATTTCCTTTTCCTCATTCTTTAGTCATTTACGTTTCATCCAAGCTCTTAGCCTCTCAGAGTCTTTGCCTTCTCAACTTTCATTTTTTTTTCACTTTGTATTATGAATTTTATTTATGGCAGAGTCAGTTGAGCAAAAAAACAATGGTTTTACTTCTCAAGCTCGATTAAATAATTTCACATCTCTAAATTATACTTTCGGTATTTAGAAATTTAAGTAGATTTTATTAAAAGAAAATAAAAAAAATTTAAAAAAAAAGTTTACAAGAATTTGCGAGTTGGTAGGTAGTTGGGTTGGAAAAATTTCGGCTCGTCAAAGGTTGGTCCTAAAAGACCTGCACGTCGAGTCTCAGGCCCGCCATGGGCCAGTTCGTAACTGGCTGGCCGGCCGTATTACCAGCTCTAGACAAGAGCATATTTCATGAGACATTCAAGTCTAATTTCTTAGGGCAAAGAAAATTCAAGTATAATTTCCATATTATCATATTTTTCAAATGTGCAAAGAGAATTTTTTTAAAATTTATAACTTACATTTTATTTTCAAGATTAACGAGGAAAAATCAATTAGAGCTGTTTTGTGTAAGGCTAGTAATATGGGTCAACCCGCGAGATGGGTTGAACCCATATGGATTGGGCTAAAGCAACCCGTTTAAAGGTGGGTTGGCTAAAGTCAACCCTAACCCGCTAAGGCGGGTTGGGGGGTTGGCCTGCCAACCTATCAACACTTTTTTTTTTGGTGAATTTTTTTTGAACTTTTTAATATTTTTTTCTTATATAATATCCATAAATAATAATAAAATTTGTTTTTTCTTGAAATATTTTATTGAAAGCACCAAATAAATTATATAGGTATTTTTTATTTTTTAGATAGGATATAATAATATAATTATAATAATTAAAAAATAAATAGGGGTTAGCTAGCGGGTTACGAGCCTGGCGAGATAGGTTCAAAAGGCTCATTTACTGATGGGTTAATTTTTAGCCAGTCCTAACTTATTATTTTTTATTGGTTGGAGGGTTGAACTTGTGGGTTCAACCCATATTTTGTGTTTAATTTGTATTTCACCAATTTGTTGACATGTATAAAATTTATCCTGACATGCGTGTGTATAATGCAGCACGTCATGTCTCAAATGGGGAAAAAAAATTATGTCCAGCTTTACCTCTTATCCGGAAGGCCCAAATCGACAGTGTCTTGTTTATTCTGGGCTTTTCATTTTCCACGGCACACTCGAGAACTAATTATTGGAATTGCATTATTTATAAATCATAAATAATGGAACTTTTAATCTTAAATTTTATATAACTAATGAAATGAGACTGATTTTTTTCTTTTTTGCCAACATATGAGACTGATATCAAATTAGTAAACCAGAAGCAAATCGTTGGCAAAAAAAAAAAAATCCCAAAGCTAATTAACCATTAATTCTTGAGAAAATTACGTACAGGTACTACAGAAGACAATTTATTCATCTAAAGTCTCACGAAATGTCAAAATCACTGACAGGTCCCAAGGGACCTCAGAGTAATATATTTTACTTGTAAAATGACATTACTGCCCTTCACATTCCAAATTTACATTTGCTTTGTCATTGCGATTTACAACCTTAGCAGCGACTATTAACAACCCAATGAGAGGACGTTAACAACCTAAGCAGTATTCCTTAACAACTTACTTTATAGAATCATATAACCTCCATATAAGAGTAAATTATAACCAAATAGTACAATACAACAACTTTAACACTAAAATGGGAAGCTTTTTGATATCATTAAGAATTTTAACTAAACCCAATAGGATTATAGTAACATTTTAATGCGAAGATCCATTTACAACCTCAACGGTGAGTATTAACAATATAAGGAGAACTGTTAACAACCTTAGCAATGTCTGTTAACAACTAACTTTATCGGATAATATAACTTCTAATTATAACTAACTAAATTATAACTAAATAGTGTTAAAGTTAATCTTATATAGTTGTTAGAGGTTATATTATCCTATAAAGTCAGTTGTTAACAGATACTGCCTAGATTGTCAACAGCTTTCTTTGGGTTATTAATAATCACCGTTGAGGTTGTAAATGGATCTTCGCATTAAAATATTGTTATAAATCTATTGGATAATATAACCTCTAACAACTATATAAGATTAACTTTAACACTATTTAGTTATAATTTAGTTAGTTATAATTAGAAGTTATATTATCTGATAAAATTAGTTGTTAACAGACACTGCTAAGGTTATTAATAGTTCTCCTTATGTTGTTAATACTCACCGTTGAGGTTGTAAATGGATCTTCGCATTAAAATGTTGCTATAATCCTATTGGGTTTAGTTAAAATTCTTAATGATATCAAAAAGCTTCCCATTTTAGTGTTAAAGTTGTTGTATTGTACTATTCGGTTATAATTTACTCTTATATGGAGGTTATATGATTCTATAAAGTAAGTTGTTAACGGATACTGCTTAGGTTGTTAACGCCCTCTCATTGGGTTGTTAATAGTCGCTACTAAGGTTGTAAATCGCAATGACAAAGCAAATGTGAATTTGGAATGTGAAGGGCAGTAATGTCATTTTTCAAGTAAAATATATTACCTTGAGGTCCCTTGGGACCTGTCAGTGATTTTGACATTTCGTGGGACCTTAGATGAATAAACTGTCTTCTGTGGGACCTGTACGTAATTTTCCCTTAATTCTTTCATAGATCGAAATTTTTTACTATTAAATATGCTCGACTTTACATCCTTGAATCCGTAAGCAAAGTATTAGTTCCCTATAGTTATTTTTATTCATGTATACAAGTACAGTGTTATTATTCCGGTGACTTTTCACCTTCAATGGTGCATTTGGTGTATGGAAAAGTTATTTGAAGATAGGGTAAAAGTGAAAAAATATTTTTATTGTATTATTGCAAAGTTGCATTGTAGAGATTACCGGTATTTGTTTTTTTTAAAGAAAACTCCTATGGTCACTGTTTAATTCCAAACATATGTACCCGTTTAACTTGATCTCTCTAATAATAGAAGACTGATTCGTTGCCAAAGGGACTCCTCTGTCAATTTTGACAGTAAACCTGCTGGCTGAAGGGTAGAGAAGTTAAATCTTCTTTTCTTTTCTTTTGAATTCAGCAACTGTTTTGTATTTTGTGCCATCAGTGGATCCGTATCTGAACATCGTTAGGTCTAAACAGAAGTAATAGTGTAGGAGTGATTTTGCCATTTTGCAAAGTTAAAAACCTCAGTTGGTAGCCCGTTGAGATCAAACACTCTCTACGTATATATACTTGACCAATAATTGATGATGACGGGTACGGTGTAGTTTTGTGTATGTCACTCAAGTGAGGGGAGGAATGTATGTGAGGAAGCATCGCATCTGGCACCTGCCTATAACTTTGACCCAGGCATAAAAGGGCAACAAAGAAAAACGATTTGTCTACCTGGACATGCTTCATGCTCACAGCAACGAGTACGAAAAAACAGACCCATACGAAAAAGTATTTACATCACTGGGATTATTTTTTTTGCATGTAAGTAAACTTGAATTTAAGTATAAATTAAGTTTTACCTCGAATAGAGTTGGATTTATTAAATAATATTCACACAAGCGAAATGACCTATATATATAAACTCGAGTCAAGTTAAAATATTATGTCCTTCCGATCCTCAGTGCCTATAAGTTGAAGGAGACAATATAATGATGAAAACTGGAAACGGGAATGAGCATTAACTGGGGGAAAATTTAGATCAGGCAGTATATGAATTTATTGGACTAAATGCTAGGAAAAATCCAAAAAAAACACCTCTAAAATTTAAAAATATCAAATCAAGACTGACTACAAAAATGTATTGTCATTTGCTTTTCAAATATTGTCAGTAGTTATTAAAGTGTAGTAAACAATGTCGGTTTGAAATTTTAAAATTTAAAGGTATTTTTGAAATTTTCTTAAATGCTCTATGTTTTGCATTTGGTTTGGCAAACCATGAAAAAGTTTGCTATGTTCTCAGTAAAAAGGCCAGAAATGTTGGAACTATACTTATTAACTGATGCCTTTTGCGCAATTGGAGCATCAAAAGAGGTAGCCTGGGGAAAAAATAAAATAAAGGAGTGTAAGTATAATAAGGCGTGAATTTCACACGCGCAATCACGTTCTTTGATGCCCTTCCCTGTATCTTATTGCATGAATGAAATTGTCGTAGAGGACCGGATTTACGTTTTCCATGCTATTATTACCATTTATGTTTGGATCAATAACACCGACCAAGTTATTATCGTCTTAAATTCAATAATAGATTTAACTGTATATAAGTTAACATGAAATCACGTGACTTTCCAAAAAAAATCAAATATAATTACATATGGCAAAAATATAAATAACATTGACCTACGTGGATATTGAACATGAACTTGGGGACCAAGGTATTGGTTCCAACACTAACTGCGTAACAATAAATAAGATTCTTGTTTCCATCTGACTTTCCTGGAGATGATATTCCAAACGTTGATCAGTTATATATGTTCGCATGCATTGCAAATTCACTTAAAGGAGCTTGGAACTTAAGTTAGAGAACTGAGACTACTTGATTATATTGATTTTTAGTTATTTTTTGCGACATTGGATTTGCCAAATCATACGGCTGAAATGCTCACATTACCTCCGTGAGACGATCGATCGAGCTAGGAAATCGGGTATCAAGCTAGGTAAATTATAGAGGGCCGCAGGCGAAGCGTCATCCCGTAAATTTTAACTTGTTAATTACTTGAAAACGGAAGAAAAAATTACAACAACACAATGATAATATATATATATATATATATATATATATGGTCTTAGCTTCTCTCGCCTATCGTTTCTGTACATGCAAAACCAGTGTGTGAATGAAACTTGAGGAACTACTAACTAGTTGGTGGAGAGCGTAGTGCATGAACGAGGAAGTTGCGGGGGGACAGGCAGCACAGGAATGGGGTTCGGCGCAGCAACCGTGTTGTTACCCGCTGCTCCGCCGCCACCGGGCGCCCCTATGAGGGATGATATTGCAGCCGCCAGTGCTGCAGTCAAATTGGGATCAGAAGCAATGGCTGCACTGACAGTCTCAACCATAGACGACGAATTCAACGGCAGCCTTTGCCCGAGCTGAAGCAAGTTCTGTGGGAACATCATAGGATGTCCCGTTAGCTGTCCCTGAGGACACCCGTGCAATATTATTGGCATTGGAAAAGGGGCCCCTGATGAGGGATGTGCTCGTTGCTGCAGCTGCATGCCGTTGGTGACTTGGGTCAAATCCAGCGTGATGGTTGGAAATGGTGCAGATGCTGATAGTGTGGCCATTGATGCGTAGGGGTAGGCCATTGAACCCATGTATCCCGCAGAATGTGTAACACCGTCCTTGCTTGTACTTGAGGTCGAACTGGAAAGGAGCATCGCCGCCGCTGCCGATGTTGTATTCGCCATAGCGCTGGCTGCTGGAGGAAGTGGGTGGCTGTGATTTCCTTCGTAGGTTGTTACCAGCACTGTCTTATCCTCGGCACATCTTTGCACCTGTTGAAACACGGTATCAAGTTTTTGATAATTTGTTCGTGACACAAAGAAAGAAGCAAGATGAACAGACGACGAAAGCTGGAATAAAAAGTACCTGCTTACGAACAGGGCATCCTACGGCCATAGTGCAACGATAATAAGCACGAGGGCAAGGATTGCCCTTTGCCATTTTCTGACCATATTTTCTCCATTGACACCCATCGCTTATCTAAAACAGCATAGAGTTCGGTCATTCTCCCATATTGGCTATGTATGTATGCCCACAGATCAAATTAAGAACTATATATATATATATATAATTAGGTACCAGAGGAGCTTCTGATCTTGCACGTACGGAAACCCTGGCTTTCCTGAAAGGGACCTGATCGGAAACTTGTTCGTCTGATCTCTTGGATTCTTGTAACTTGGTGGTGATGGATGACTCCCAGCTCTGAGAGGAGCGGTCAAAACAATCTTCAGGAAAAGCTCGTTTCCCAAGAAGCTTAGTCAAATGATGTTCACGTTGGTTTGACATTACCTCCGCATTGTTTGAGGGCGCCGAAACTGATTGAGTCTTGTCATCGGAAATCGATGCATCATTAATGTCTAGATGGGTAGATGGCTGTGGGTCCATCAACTGTTTCCCCGACACCATGCCATTTGCTCCAACCTGTTTCGAATCGATAACCACCGGATTTTATCATTACTTGGATCTCGTGAACCGTAAATTTAGACACACGTATAGCTAACAGCTTCTTGCTGCCATGCGCTGGCTGTAGTCTAGTCATACATGCATGTTAACGCCACTTTTAACTACTGTGGCGAGAATTTGCGTATGTATGACTCTCTTTATCTAACAATTCTCCGTGGCATACATATATATAGGTCGATTGGTTGATCGATCACTTCTCGTTTTCTTGGCTCAAAGCAAGTATTTTATTTTTGTAGATAACGATAGTAAAATTAAATCTACAAATTTCTTGAAAATGAATTGTTTTAAGTGAAAGGAATATTTGAAATCCAGGTGAAGCACGTCTTCGCCTTTTATATTGATCAGTTAAAACAAGTAATATTCGGTCCGGAAAGAATTGTCTCTTGAAATACCCTATTCTCAGAGTCGAGAAAAAAGCAAACAATCCCTGGTAGATGCAATAGTTTAACCATTCAGTCATATTACTTTAATTTGGATAAAAATTCACCTTCATAGAGTTTTGTTTTTGCAGAGCGATGAACAGCTGAGCTTGTAGTTGGCTATAGCTTTTGGTGATCTGGTCGAGCATAGTTCTCAGCTTCCTGTTCTCTGCATGCAGTCTCCGTAATTCACCTTGGATTATACTCAGCTGAAAATATGAAACCAGAAAAGCCACTTTTTTACGGGATTCAAAAAGAAAAATTAAGGAATTGATGATCCATACCTCTGTATTAGGATTTTCATTACTTGCTGCCTCTGAAGTTCCAGAACCTACACGCGTTAGATTTAGGCCGGTCTGTCCAAAATGCACGTAAAAAATAATTAATTAATTCAATCGGGCTGAATTTAAGTTAGAACCGGATTGTTCTTTGAAACCTTACGTTTATAGGCCAATCAGTGGAAGGAACCGATCCACTTCCATCACGGCGGTCGTCAAGATCTGGATTCGGATTTGCCGGGCCAGAATCACAGCTTTTCTCAACCGAACGGGAGAAGAAATCCATTTCTTTGATGGGAGGACGGCGATGGGAACCGGGATTCTGGGGTGTTGGATCTGAAGTATGGGGTGGAAAGTCGCCGGAGTTGAAGAAGGTCAATTCACGGCGGAGACGAGGGCTGTGATCCATAATGGTCGAGAGACGAGTGGGATGGAGAGTAAGAAAGGAGCAAGCAAGTGGCAATTAGATTCAACAGAAAGGTTTAAAGATCGTGAGGAAGGGGGGTCCAAAATTAAAGAAAAAGTGCGAAGGTCCAGGAAACCGAAAAGAAGAGTAAATGTAAGAAAGAGAATAGGGAAGGGTTTCGCGGGAAAACGACTTAGATTTTTTTTTTTTGGGGGGGGGGGGGGTTGTGCGTTAAACTTAAACTGGTGTTATGTGCAGGGGGATGGCCCTTAGAAAAAGAGCATTAGTTTTGGGGGGGGGGGGGGATGGGGGCAAGGCACCCACGTGGAGGAAGTCGCTTGAGGTCAACCCGCGGCTCTATGTGACGGTGGTTAGAGAGTAGAAGTGGGACCCCCTTGAATTGCTCAACCTAATCTCACTGACTTTGAACACATCCTCAACGTCATCGCCGTCCTCCGCCCCCTTAACCGCCCAGTATCCGGCACCCCTCCGCCTTCCCTCCCCCGCCAATTCTGATCGCTTCGGAATTTCCAGCAAAATGGAAATTCTTCATCGTGCCCTCCTTAATACTGCATTAATTGCCTGTTTTAAATATTCATTAAGTAAACCCTCATCTAGTTTCCTCATCTAAAATAACGACCCCTCCTTCGTCGCTTTCAGTCTCCCTTCTTTTTCTAACCGTGTGTAGATATAAATCTTAATTCATCGGCCGTTAAATGACTAGTGTAAGGAATATTAGGGAATACTTGTCGTTGTTACGCATAATGGCCTCTTGCTTTGACGGAAAAGGGCGATGCGGAAACGGAATGGGAATAAAATCATGTTTTTTCAGAGTTTGGCATACTGGACTGGGAATGCTTCACCCATTCCTTAGAGGAAAATAAAGTAGCTCAACTTATTCCGTCATCGAGTTGAAGGACTGTTCCGGCAGATTATGGAATATAGTGCAGTGAAATTTTCGAAAATATCCACCCTGCATGTTCGTTTGTGCGGACCAAACATCTGCTTTGAATTCGTTCCCTCCCTCATACTCTCGTGCTCATTCCTTTTAAAAAATTTTCATCATACCAAACAAGCCGTCAGAATCCGTTCGGCAGGAAAGACTGACCTTGATGATGAAAATCATTTAACACACATACTCAAATTAAATTGTTTAATCATGGCCCATTGAAATGATGCCGATGCTTCCACATAAGCCTTCTAATTTCGACTTATAACTACTTTATTTTTTGCCTGCACGCAATTAATACGTATTTTCTGACTATTTCTTTTGAAGTCACCTTTCTGTTTCCTTATTCAAATTCCGAAGTCTCTGACTACGGTGCACCAAGGGTGAATTATATTACGGACGATGTTTGGTTATCAAAACACCTCGCCCCATTGCTTGCTTCATTTTGTCCCTAGTGATGAATAACTTCTATAATCAAGGTCAATCTGATTTTAGAAATATCGCGAGAGAGTTGATTTGCATTGATTTAGTCCACATAGATAAACCAAAATTATTGTACGCACGCCACATAAATACGTGTAGAAATAAATATATGGTAAATGTATTTGGAGATTTGGCTGTTTTCTTTGCCGGTGTAAGAAAAAGAAAATGCATTTGGAAAACGGGTACAAAGACTGATGAGGATTGGATCAGCTGACGGCAACAGAATAATTAATGCCGTTTTATACAACGAGTGAATCTGACCAAACTTTATAAGCAAGTCCGCCACGCCAAGTTCAAATATCTCACCTGGCGCGATCAGGAAACGTGAAGAATTCAACTTTTTGCAGGTTCTGGGATCCTCATAAGTAAACTGTCTATTTAATTACATTATAACCTATAGATGGGTCTTTCTTTCGCGGTAAATATGCCGTGTAAATTAATTATATAAGAATCATCCATTAATAAGGTGACATTTACGAACAACGCTTTGAAAAAATGATTTTAATTAAGCTTCCTTATTAACGTCCGGCAGAGATTCAACGCTTTGAAATATCTGTGATTTCAGCTTTCGCTATCTGCAATCTTCCGACTTCCTTATGCCTTCGAAGGAGGAAAACTCCCGCTTGACCTAGCTATCTATGCCGATGAGTATACTAAATGTTCTGTAATTAATTTTTTTTCCCCAGTATTTCTTTCAAGGAAGTTGCATGGCTGGGAAATATGGGAGAATATTTCTCTGCATCGATGTTTAACAGGGGCATAAGTGAAAAAATAATATATATATATATATATATATAATCCCATTTGTTTCTTCTAAAAAGGGAAGGATGGAATATGTGCTAAAGGGCTGAGATCTAATTGTTGAGCTGGTTGTACGTTTAATAAAAAAAAAAAAAAAGATGTTTGTGTTGTGTAGGAAAAAGAAACTGAGGATGGGGGTGATGGAGCATTTAGAGCTGCAGGTCAATGCCGAGTTGTTGAAGTTTCGTTGGCATTATATGTAAGCTGCTTTTATTTTGTCCATCGCTTTGACAAATGTGGCACTTCATATAGACTGCAATCACTGCATCGAACCGCCATACCTTCCCCACGCTCTCCTCCTCAATCTAATGATCTTCTTCGCTTTCACAATATAATTAATGCCACCGCGCCTTTTTCCTTCGTACATCCACGTTTCAGACACCATGTTATTTTTGACCCACCGATATATCCTCGTAGGGTATGTCTGGATTGGCGTTGAACAAAACTGACTTCTAACCCAACTGACTTTTATAACTGAAGTTAGAGTAAAAGTCAGTTAGTATAATGCAATTTATGTTTAGATAAGTGCTTTTAAAAAGTCAGTTGAAAAAGTTAAAAGTTGTTGGATGATTAATAGAAAAGTTAGTTTAGTTGTAAAATGACTGAAAAGAACATGGAGTAGTGTTTGAAATTTTATATTTTTAATGTCGTAATAGTTTAAAAAAACACGTAAAATTATTATGATAAAATATAAATAGTTTATTTGTGAAATTATAGAATAAAAATATTTGTTACGGAGAAAAATTTGAAAATACACTGTAGATAATTAATTAAATATACATAATGGACAAATATAAATATAAATTAAAATTTATTTGGTCTCTAATTAAAGTAAATGGAATCACATAACTAATTAGATCGTAAGCTTTGTACATTTTTCTATAAGTCAGTTAGAAAAGTTGATCCAAATTACGTTGGATTAGTCAGTTAGAAAGTTACTTTTTTCATAAGTCAGTCAAAAAAGAAGCCCTATCTAAACAATCTTTTGAGCTACAATAAGTCACAAACCTAGTTTCACGCTTTCCCGTGTACGTTTACCATTTGTAACATCAATCCAAACGAGCCCGTAATAACTAGCGTTAAGTCACGCTGTAAATGACACAAAATAAAACACCAGGACAAACTCACCTGCAGGGTTACCAAATTTTCTATAAAAAAAAAACTATTTATATGAGATATTACTAAAATAATTTTACAGCCTAAAAAAATATTAAATAACAAACCATGTATGCTAATATATACTTATCCAGTACTACATATAACACCTATTTTGTAGTATATTTACATTACAAATAGGTGTTATATTTAAGACTAGATGAAATTTTTTTATACAAAAAAATTCAGGTGAATTAAATCCTGAGAGCTTATCAGGATCAGAGCATACTTAGTGGGAGTGTTTTAAAATATAAGAAGTGAAACCATATAAAATGGGGAGATGAGATGGACTTTTTGATGCTGGGAGGAGGAGATGGGGCCTTCCTACGGAGACATTCATGAGATGTCTATGGCCATACGCGAGAAGGGTCACTGAGTTCTCACCCCTTGGTCTTCCATTTCTTTTATGGCCCTTACTCTGAACGATGCGTTATTTTAATTAATAAAAATTATTAGATGTATATAATTAATATCGAGGTGAAACTAACTTTAAAACATAAAATAGATAACTTCCTCTTCAAAATTAATTGTAATTTTGTCGTTATATTTCGGAAGATAAAAAAGTATTACGTGAATTAAATTAGAAGTCAACAATCGATCAAAATTTGAGACAATTACATGGCTTTGATATGATATTGGAGAGATCTATGTGATGTGCCTCGGAGGGGAGCACAGGGAGTAAAATTCATGCCAGCTAATGTGAGGACGTGCCCGTTTGAACTGTGACATCCGTGGAGTTGCATAATTATTGAAAAAATAAAAGCAGGAGAGGAAGTGGGGTAAGTTTATAAATTGGGAAACGTGGAGGTCGAGGGAGGGAAAATGAGAAGATTCAAAGGGTGCTCTGGTGGCGGGCTTTGCGGTTGCGGCGCTGATAATAAAAAAGAGGCTATGGATAAAGAATATTGGAGGGGGAGGGAGCCCACCCTATGGGTTTGCCCGCACGTTCAATCCAAATTTCACGTGCATCCCCACCCTACTTCCTTCGCCTCAGCCTACCTATCCTCCTCTCTCTCTTTCTCTCTCTCACCCCACAATTATTAGGCCTCCTATTACTATTAGCCTTTTTCTCCTTCATGACTCCCTCTAACTTCTTTAAAAAACAATTAGAAAGAGGCACCGCCACACAAGGTTACAAGTGGTACTCCGGCAATCGGTCCATTTACATGAGAAATTTCCTGTTATAGATTATAACGTGTTTAGTCGCTCACCACTATAAATCTAAACACCCACGTTCTGCCGCGTTTATTCTCTGTTACACTGCTCATGCAGCACATATCATCTATGTAATGCCTGCGTGATCATCCAGGCAGAGGCAGAAGATATAGTATCTAGTATGTTTTATCGCCGCTGTTTTTAAGTTCCCGAAGGCCGATTTGATAAGTGGCACCACAGTCCGCTAGAGGGTCTTTACAATCAATTGCTGCCCTCTGAATGAGAAATTATTGAGCCAAGTCGTCATGTATTATGTATAATATAATTAACAACCTGTCACTGGGTCAATTCACACTCCACAGGCTAGTTAATCTATCTTGTCAACTTTTGAAAATCAGAATAAAATAATACTAGTTAGGGTAGCATGAAAAGCAAAGCGCATGCGTGGTTAATAGCTAAACAGTGCGAGAGAGTTACGATCCGATTTCCTCGTTCGGGATTATTGAAACCGACAAAGGGGTGCTTTTCACAGGTCTTTTTAATACAAGTCTGATGAAATCGTATTATCTCTCTCACACACATATATTTATATATATCTTATTTCTAATTTCTAATTATTCTTCTTGTATTGCTTGGCTTAGCCGATGACTTTTCGGCCATAGAAGTCACGGTTGTGAGTGGACCCACTTGTGGAAGATTTTAGGGTGACCTCATGTGCATGGAAAACGAAATGAGGGCGACCTCATGTGCATGGAAAAAGCTGAGAGGCGAGTGTTCATTTTCAACAGAGCGTCTTCTTTTGTTTTGAACGCAACTTTGTCTTTTTACTTTGTGGCATGTAATTGCTTCCAGAAAAGCAAGTGGATATATGACAATAAATTAAGTAAACGCTCACCCACCCCTCTCTCTCTAAATCTTCATCAGCGCCTAATTAACCACAATATTAATTATACCTTTAGTCATTGCTTCCATTCTTAGGTTTTGGTCGAATGACGTGCACATACAAACACACTTGTGAGTAGGGGTGGAAATAGGCCAGGCGGCCTGTCAGGGGCCTGTGGCCTGGCCTGTAAGTGGCCTGGCCTGGCCTGGCCTATTTCCAAATTAAAACAGGCTCAGGCCTTTTTAAAGGCCTGTTTCTCTTAAAAGGCCAGGCCCAGGCTCTTTAATAAGCCTGTTAAGCCTGTTAGGCGGCCTGGGCCTGTTATATTTTTTTTAAAAATATTATAATTATAAATTTATAATTAACTTTTTTAAAATAATATCATGTTTTGATTAATATTGTAATATGCCTAATACCACAATTTTATCCTGAATAAGACCATGTTTGGATTACTCTTCAATATACCTTGGATGATGATTTCTATAATATGCACTTTGTTATTCATTCAAATCCTACTGCCCGATGATGATTTCGTGTTTGTCATTTTTGACTTTTATTTACCTATACAAAACTACTTAGTTTTTCTAACGCACATCACCAACAATTGACAATAGAAATAACCCCTCTATGAATTTGATTTCTGTTTATCCTTTGTATTGTGACCATTTTAACTACATCTTCTCCTCAAGTTATTAAATATTTTTCACTTAAATAATATAATTTGAAACACGAACAACAAAATAATATACTACCATTTGAATATTAAATATTTTTCACTTAAATATTTTAGATAATTTTATGTTTGTATTTTATATTAATTTGGATTGAGTTATTATAATGTTGAGTTGATTTAAATATGTTTAAAATATTTTTAAAAAAATGCAGGCTTCTTAACAGGCTTCAGGCCAGGCCAGGCTTTTACACAGGCCAGGCTCAGGCTGAATATAAGGCCTGTCACAGGCCACAGGCCAGGCTCAGGCCAACAGGCTTCAATACAGGCCTGGCCTGTTAGGCGTAAAGCCTGGCCTGGCCTGGCCTGTTTCCACCCCTACTTGTGAGTTGTGAGCATTCAGCCCTCTGTCCTGCCCATAGTCTGATGAATTATTTAGGTAGGTGTTCTTTTGAATGGAGAGAAAATGAGCACAGCACCTTTAATTTTATGCTTCTTATTTACATGTATACACGTAGCCGCGATTGAGAAGGATTAATGGCCATGTGTGTGTATATAAAAATATATATGCCTTAAAATAATGACACAAGAAGACGTCATTAACCAGCTAATTGTGGCTGTTAATGAATAGGGATTCCGGACTCCAACATATATATGTAAAGCTAATTGTAAGAGGTCGGCCAACACATAAAGGCTATACAACGAGCAGGCAAGGGAAGACACATTGAGCTAGAATTTAGGGTTTGGTCCTTAAAGTGGTTCGTTTAGCTTTTTACTTCTTTATTTTGGAAACCGAGTCGTATCCTAGAAAAGAAAACAAAAGCTGAAAGATCACCGCAATAGCTGACAGGTGTGGCTTTCTTCTACGCATAGTTCTTGTTTCTTAAACTTTTTCTCCCTCCTTTACTGTGGGTCGTTTAGAGAGGAAGAGTCCTAAAGAATCAGAATTGGGAGTCATCACCCGCTTTACTTTAACCCATGCTGGTCCATGCAATGAACCATGGGAACAAAAGTTTCTTTCTTTCTTTCTTGAGAATTTTGTCGCGGAGAAATGATTTCTTCTACCCTTAAATTACTTCAGAGTGCAGACTTCGTATTTTGGTAATTAAATATGATTTTGTTTATAAATTTTAAAAAATCTAAATAATGACAAATTGAGTAAAAACAGAGGTAATACGGCGGTCATTGACGGAATATGGTTGTGATTGGGCCTTTTGGTTCTGTCAATTAGGTTATTTCATCAACGCAGTTTTCGTTTTCCGCTTGGCCTCCTTTTGGTTTGGACGTGAACCGATGGATCCAACGAAACCTCCATGCTTGACCGAAAAATCTTTCACACTGTGCTCCTGCTCCCGTATGTTTTAAGACTTAGGGCTTTGATCCACGAGTCAATGAAATATATAGCAAGGCTGAATCTTCATAAATTACTACCTCTGCTCGTTAATATAACAACTCATTTGATTTTTATTTTAATCTTAAATATAAAACTCCAATCCGTTTTATTTTTTATATTTATCTATTTTTTTCAAAATGGTCATTGTAATAATAATGGTTCTAATCAATATGCTTGATTAACAAGGGTATCTTAGAAAAGATAACATTTTTTTAACAAATAGTTACTTTAAATAATTTTCTTAATCTACTCAAATTAGTCAACTAGCTCTTATATTAAGGACCGAAAATAGTATATAAATAACTAGGCACTCTTTCAACATATTATAAGAGTTTATAAAATAAGTCATCCCATTTTGAAAATAACGTAATCTGCCATGAATTTTTTATCTTGCATCGGTTGTTTTAACTAGATAGGCCCCATTTATTCGTAAATGATGTAAAAAAAACGGTCAGTGTTCATAGCTTATGCAAACAGTACGTTTTCTATAACTTTTATGTTTTACATTGATATTAAATATATTAGCTGGATTTATGCAAAAGAAAAAACTAGAGAGAAAAAGGTCGGGGCCTTCTGAGAATAAATTTTTTTTTCCTAAAACATAGGCTTCTATTAAAGGCGATTCTATTTAAAATACTGTTAAACACTAAATATAAACATCTATTCCAGAAAGAATTCAAATAGTAGTTCGTCACGTTATAAAGCTAGACCCAATGCATCTCCTTTACAAACGAGAGAAGCGGAGCAAAACATCGGATGGGCTCAGGTCTGGGCCTGCTTCATACTAGTCTAACGATCACTAGGACGTATTCGATGAAAATGGAAAGGGGAATTACAGCAGAACGGCTTCGCCATACAATACACCCATTTAACACCCCATTTTGTCTCCCCTGACAATCCTCAATCTCTTGACGGTGGATAAGAACATCCTATACTCAGAAACAACATCATATGCTCATTAGTCATCGGCGGCCACAGGCCAAAATGTATCATTGTGTTCTTAACCCAGGTCATAGATAATAACTTACTCCCAAGGGATATCTCCAACCATGATCAGATCCCCTTCGTCATCTTCATAGGTTAGCACATGCCACCATCTCTCTGGTTGAAGTACCTCCTCCATCTCAGAGCCCACTGTTCACAACACAAACCCGCCAGATATGTTTATTCTTTTCTTTTATTATTTTGACTGAGCAAACAAATCTTCATTTATTAACTTGCATAATACTGATCAATATCGGAGAGCACTATAGGCACTAGAGACTTAACAGATAATGGTAGTGTCAAACATGTGCTCAAGCGTCTTTACTAACTCGTGGTAGCCATCTTGAGCTAGTAAATCCAGTTTTCTGCCTATTGGAATCCCTTCCATGTACACCTTTACAAAGATGCTGCGTTCATTTACTTCAGCTGCATGCGAACTACTTCCGAGCGTCCTCTTATCTGAAGGCTTCCCCCTATTATGAGAACGAACCCAACAAAAAAGAAAAAGTCTTCCAGTGATCAGTAAAATGTGGTCGAGGTTCATTGAGCTTGGAATTGAGCTTATATATAAATTGCTCAACTGCTGCTGTTGATTGTTGGATATACGTACGTACCTTGAAATACAAGAGTGAAGAAGTGGAGTGGGCGAAATGCTGAGTCCAAGCCTGAGATCTGTAGGAAGGTGTTTGAGAGAAGATGCGGTTGAGAAAGCGGGGTCGTTGCCGTTACTGCTGATCGACGACGAGGATGAACTGGACGTCTTGCCCATTGTGGGAACTAGACGGATTACTCACAAAGCCACCGCCTTTAGACTCTTAAATAAACAGCACCAAGAACCCTGGGTTTAGCCTCTTTTTCTATTTCTTTGCACAGAAGAGGCAGAGGCTCCAATGTTGTCATTATAGCCGACAACTACACACCTGTCAACTAATTACCGACTTAATTACCATAATTTTGTTTCATTAGAACTTAAATTCGAAGCTACCGAAACATTTTATTTAGTGGAAACAGGAGACAATTGTTGACACTAGACAGTTGCAATGGCGAGATAAAGCAGGCAGACAGTAGTACTATTGCTGGCGCGGGTATCCTCGAGGGAATGAATGGAGACCCTAGCCAATATTCAGGAACAAGTTCATGAGGACCAAAGGAAAGTAATACCAGCTCCCGGTAATTTTTAGAGTAAAATACTCTAACCTCTCTTATATTTTGTCTTAATTATACATATCTTTCTTTTATTTTGAAAACATATACTTAAATTCAAACTGTTAACTCTGTTAAGAATATTTGAAAAAGATGTTTTTTTTAATTCAAATTTATCTTGAAATACTTTCTGTTTGTTAAATTACCCTTCATGATACTAAATTCCAAAATCTTGGTTAAAACTATATCAAAGAATTTAAGATTTTATCCTTTACCTTGATTTTATTTTTTTTATTTTTAAGAATTGTTGTTTGTTTAATGTTTTTATCGTATTGGGCCAAAAAATTAAGTAATTTAAATAATACAAACATAAATTTAAATGATTTATATAAGTTTCTAAACTTGTATAATTTATATTATGTGATAAGAAAATAAGCATTCAAAACACTTTTTAGCCATTTAAAAAAAATCTTAAGTTTCAGTATTTCATGAGGAACTAAAATTATTTAATTCTATAATATAATTGAAATTAAAATTTTTATAACATATTAAAAATCTTGGAAATACATGTATTATAATTATTTTTTGTTGTATCAAAAATTATTTTTTCATAAATATACATGTTTAAATAATATTTATGTTGAAGAGGGATATTTTGGTCAAAATAAAAATTTAAAAGTCAAACTTAACGCTCAACTAACAGTTGAATGGATGAAAATTGAATCTTAAAAATATAAGGGAGGTTTGTGTAACATATATTTTAATTTAAAGAGAAGTTTATATATATTTTTAAAATAGAAGAGAGGTTTTTGTAGTAAATATATTTTACTCTTATTTCTTTGTCAACGTTCAATGAATATAATCCTCGTGTGTTGGGTATGGGAAACCTTTGTGGAATGGCTCATTGGTACTCCTCCGATACTTAATATAGGACCCAATTGGTGAGTTAGTTTTGATCCTAAATATAAGACCTATTTTTCATATTTATCAATTTTCTCTAAATTACCCCTATAGATACTCCCTCAATCATAATCAAGTATAGAAGAGGGAGAGGGGTATTAAGAAAGATGAGTATGGTGTTTTAGAAAAAACGTGTCACATTTTTTATAATTAACTAACTTATCTAACTTCTTTAATCTAATCAAATTAGTTAAATGAGCCTTATATTAAAAAACGGACGAGTATTTATTATAAATACTTGTGCAAAACGCGAGAGAAGAAGTATAGTGAAGTACTTCCTCGAACTCTCTTAATTGTACAGATTTATCACGACTTCCTAAAACGGAAATCGGCAAGAGACAGGTGTCCCTTTTCAATAGTCTAAAGGGAAAAGAAAAAGCTTACACCTTATCATGCTGTCATCTTTAATCTGTTCCCGTTCCTCTACTTGATTGTGCGCGAGCGCAATGTCTTTAACATGACGGGTTAAAACGTCTAAAGCGAAGAATAGACGATTGAGATGAGGAAACGATATAATCTCCAACCTGGAATAACTCGACAAGTGTAAATACGGTAATGATATTTGAAATAAGAAGATGATATTCGGGCTTTTGGGGACAGGCAATCAACTCTATTTGGCAACGAAAACAGATAGGAGACCAACAATGAAACGACACGTACTGCTGTCTATAATATGTAAATAGTGTTCATTTCTTCTCCGTTCAACACCTCGCCCCCACGTGTATATATATATTCACGCGCAACATATCGGATTGAGTTTCTAGGTTCATTCACAGCTTAAAGAAAGGAAAGGACAACATGTTTGCTTCGATGTAAAGACATGGCAAATGGCAAAGTGTTTGAGATTACATTTTCAAAAGAAGCAGGAAAAAACAAGCGAAATGTCCCCCACTAGGCCAACCACGAGGTTGCTTGGATAAGACAACAATGTGCCGTTTGGTCTGTACGTTGAAAGTTGGAACATGGAAAAGCAAGCAGAGCGTAACCCACATACCCCGAGTAGTTATGTTATGCATGTCCCACGATGTCAAGGCCCAATCGCTTAATTTCTTTGCCATCCCTCTTACTCTTTTTCATTGCTTGCCACCTCCCTCATCCCTGTTGCTGTCCCGAGTTTCGAATTTGACATTACGGGAAATTCTATGTTTGAAAAAGCACTGTCCAATCTTTATCTGTATTGTCAAATGACGGCAGATATGATAGCACTTGTTTGTTGTATCACAAGGGGAATAGATATATCATTAATCTATCCTTTCTCCTCAGATATGCTCCCAGCTCTCAGGCAGGACGGGTTCTTCAATTACACAGCCAAGGCGTGAAATTATTTCCATCCACTGTTACCATGGAAGATACAGTGATCCGGCGGGTCTCTCTTTTGTCCGCTTTGCTTGTTTAAAAAAGGCTTCTGGCCCATTATAAGAGGCCATATGGCCCTAAAGGAAGCCATAGCCCATGGTTCTCACAGTGCTCCGATGGGTCTGTATTTTGTCCGCTTTGATTGTTACAAAAAAGCTGTCGGCCCATTATAAGAAGCCATATGGCCTAAAGGAAGCCCATAACCCATGGTTCGTGCGTGTGCGAAAGTTGGATCGCAAGGACTTCTGCGGCTTTTTCTTTCTTTCTTCTTTCTTTTTTTGCCATGATTTAAGAGTGTTTTGTGATAGAAATGAAATCATGATTTTAAAAATAATTTTACACTTTACGAAATAAATATGTAATAGGATTTTATTTCAATTATTGTGAAAGTATTTTTTTAAAGGTGTTTTTTCCTTATTTCAAACACCCCCTTGTGCTTTTTCTAGTATAAGCTTTTACTAAATCAATAAATAATTATATTAAAAGCGTCATTATTTATAATCATTGAATTTATATTTAAATTTGAAACTAAATTATCATTCTTCATCTTGGTCCCCCCCGGGAGCGATCATTCTTCATCTTGTTAACGGATAGAGAAGATGCATATTTGGATGTGTAGATAATTTATTCGGCGGGAAAAAAAAAACATAACATCAATAATGACGTGTGCATGTGGTTTTTTGGGCAAAAGGATTGTTTGGTGAAGGCCAAAGTCAAAGTCAACTAGAGGTGTACATGATCAGACTGGACCGGATTTGTTATCAACCCAAAGTCTGGTCCAGTAAAACCTCAGGCTAAAAAATACAACCTAAGTCTGATCCAATCCAGTACCAACCCGAGATCGGGTTGGACTGGACTTGGTCCTTTAGATTGTCTGGACCAATCTAGGCAATCCAAGACTTAAATTTGATTTTTAAAAAAAAAAAATTTCTTTAATAGGAGACAAGATTGTAACCGCTATATAAAATTTTGCTCATATTTTAATCCAAAATTCAACAAATTTGATCATTCCCTTTCGATTTCCCAATAATGTCATGTTTTATTAATTAATCCTCATTACTATAGAAATTATATTGTAGAAAATATATACGCATGCTCATTATTTAAGAAGTTAATAGATAAGTCTTGACTATTTGAATAAACAAAAAACTTATATATAAAAAATTAAATCAATTTAAAATTATATAAATAATAATTAAAAAAACCGGCCAGACTGGATTGAACCAACTAGTCTGAGGGGCCAATCCATAAGCCAGTCCAGCCCGATGAGACCAGTTCGGTCTAGTCTGGTCCAGTCTTGTTTCGGGTTAATTTTTTCTGAATCGGACTGGATCGGTTTGTTTGGGTTGAATCGAACTATACCGGATCACCGGGTTTTTGCACAACCCTAAGTCAAACCTTTACCTATAGTATGAGAGAATTAGAAAAGAGGAAAGGGAGATAATTGGAAAGGAGGAAAGGGCAACAAAATTTAATAAACTCTACTTAAAAAATTAAATAAATGGAGTTATAAAATTTTGATAAAAAATAAGTAAAATTAATTAAAAGTTTTTAACCTCATTTTTCTTAATTTCTTTTTAAAATAAAGTTTATTAAAATTTTTATTAGCCTCCTCTCCGTTCCCTTCCAAGTCCCACCAAAGGTATTCCATATACTATGATTGAAAAGACAGGAATTTTTATTCTTGTCAATCAAAATTTTGCCCCGAAAAACATTTAAATATTTTTATGTAAAATTCAATTTCAACTTATCGTACGATCAGCCAGTATAGGAATCGTTTTTCAGTCGTTGCCTTTTCTTTCCTCTTACGTTTCAGTAACTTGAGGCTTGTTTGGAAAACAATTTTTTATTTTTAAAAACAAAAAAACCAAAAAAACTTGTTTGGTAATTTGTTTTTAGTTGATTGTTTTAAAAAAACAAAAAAAAGGATGTTTTTAAAAACTGAAAAACTAAAACAACTTTTATATATTTTTTTGTTTTTATTTTTGTGTTTTTTTTAAATTAAAGAAATCTTCTTCT